CTGAAGAAAGGATCCTAATCATTTCAGAATGGCAATTTGAAGATATGTTTGTCTCCCTTCCCTTTTTTTGATTCCAATACAATGAAAATAATTTTGGCCTTGTTGCTTCAGAAATGTAATCAGTGATCCAAAGAAAAGTCCTCATGAAATCTTCATCTGAACTTTGCTCTTTCAATTTAGACCAAATCCTCCAAAAATTCTCCCAAAGATCCTTGATTCTTGACCAGCCTATTACTGAAAACCCTTTAAGAATCAAGTCATAGGTAAATGGAATGAGTATCCCATGTGCATCATGTAACCTTTGCAGAATTCTCTTGTTATGTGAATCCACAGTTATTTGTAGGAGCTGATATGCAAGGGCATGCGAACCGAGTGAAGCCTTCTGACTAATATGATCTGGAATCCAATCCAACAGCCTATCAGAATAATATCTGTGTGCAAGTTGCATTGGATTTGATAATAATGTGGGATCAGGATTTGTAAACAGGCTTTCCAATTGGAGATAAAAATGATGATATGGAATTTGGTTTGTTGGTTGATTTTCTGCCACAGAATGAAGATGATGGCTCTCATATTGTTTATGTACTGGTATTTCACAGAAATAATTTTGATCAGCAGCCAGAAGATCTGGAAAGATGCAATTATTATTGGGAATTTCTTGAAACATATCTTGACAACCAAATTCCCCCCCTTGTTCACTTGCACCAATTTTACAGGTTGGTGAACTCATCCAATCATTATAGGTTTCAATTGATTCTGGATAAACTGAATTGGAAAACTTATCTATCAAAATAGAAGCTGAAAAATCTTCTGGCCAGTTTGGAAGCTCAAAATCTTTAGAGAGAATGAGTTTCTGCATAAAATCTTCATAACTTTCATATTGATTATCTTTTATTTCTTGGGAATACTTCAATTTAATCTGGGTAGGAAACCAGTCAAAATCCATTTTTTCCTTTCCAGGTTCCCGAGATAATACAGCATCAGATACTTGTGAGTTTATCTGTTCAGGTTCCATAAAATGATAATTCATTTCCTTATAAGATTGTTGAAGTTTGGATTTCTCATGATCATATGTAATATCATTATCTCCAGAAGGCTCTCTGTTCAATGATTTATCCATTTTTTCAACCTGAAAGTGTTGCTTTGGTAAAATATCCTGAATATTGGTGGCTGTTCATAATAAATTTCACAGTTAAAAAAAATGTAAACAGCTTGATCAGAGATTGAAACAAGTACCTTTGATAACTTGAGGCATTCCAGTATATTCTAGGAAACTGAAGAGCCTGGCCAATTGATAAAATAAATGAATGTATCTGTTGGAAAACATTCTGGTGGGTTGTGTATCTTTGTTCAAGCAAGAAATTAGATCTTAGTAAACAAATTCAATAATTATTCTCACATGAGAGAGCATAATTATCAGTTTATCAATGGTATATGAGAAACATGACACGGAGATGATTTTAATACCTGCTGAATAACAAGTTTCAAGTTGGAGATCCTCAGTGACACCAGCCATAGACTACTGCAAATATGGTTAACCAATTAATGGAGCTTTGTTTTCTATCCAAACAATGCAGTTTATTTGGAAATTATTTAGTGATATTACTTTTGATACCATTAGAATTTATGGACACAGATAAGATAGAAATATATATCCATCTCATTAAATTGAAATTGAAATGGAGTTGAAATTCAATTTGCTCCAATGGTCACTTGTTGCACTCCAGTTTTTCTACTCCAGGGAAGTAGTACCATCTTAGGTAATTAACTATTTTTCAGTGAAGTTTTGACTGGATCTGCCACATTTCAACTGTTTCTACTTGAATTGGGTTTTCTGAAAGTTCAGTACAATACTTTAATATTGAGTATGGTTAAGATCTTATATTTAGTGATGTAAACTAACAGCAATATTTGAGTTTCATCAGAGCATTTCCTTTTATTTTGAGGTGCATAATGACAGGTTTACATAAGAAATCATAAGATTTGAAACATCAGCAGCATTTTTGGGCCAACATAAACCATATGATTGACCAAATACAACTACTTAGTTATATTAATAATCAGATAGATGATTCAATCATGGAACATTGTATATGTGTAATGTCTTATTCCCAATCAAGAAATTATGTGAGAATCACAAGGTTCTGAAAGTTTTTATGATACAGATATTGATGATGAATAATAAATAGCAAGCGTATAAAAGAGTGAAATGTCTAAAAAAGAGAGAGCTCAAGTGAAATTTCAACAATTGTTTTACCTCACACAGCTGTGATGTGCAGTGTCAACAATATTGATCTAGCAAGTTCAGAAAATCCTTGTAAGGGGGTTCATACTCCATCAAAACCTTTGCTAATTTATAATCCTAAGGTTTCTTTTCTGCCAATTCATAATGTTCATCAACTGTCTTTGGGGGATTTCACTTCCAAAGGGGAGCTTCCCATAAAACTTTGGCATTTTCTAGGATAACTTGTCATAGTCTGAATTGAACAAAATTTGACTTCTGATTTCAAGTGCACTGCCCTCATGCTTCTCAAAAGAAACTTTTGTGAACCCCTAAAACGATTGGCCCATGAGGGGCTGGATCACAAAATAAAATGATTACAATATCCCAGTTCACAATATGTAGTCAGTTCCAATGGCTGATCACCTTGTTAAAAGTTGCTTCAGGACCGTCTGCAGAAGGTCCTCTTGATGTCACCAAAATTTGGGAGTCAGAACTCCAATTTCTGGGATTTGTTTAACTAAGACCCCAAATTTAATTGATCAGCGGCCTTATTTTATGCAAGAGTTCTAAAACCACCCTCATGTGTGAACAGGGATATGAACCCCCCCATCTGTTTTTAGTGAATTTTTGACCCCCCCCCCTTTTTTTTGGTCATGTGCTTATCTGTTCAGACACCTCATGTGTGCAACATGATCATAATAGAGTATGCAACATGATCAAGTTGAGATGCATCTTCGAACAAGGATAAAAAAAAGCTTACATGTCAATTGGGAGCTGATTATAAAAAGTTGATCAACAAGTTGGTATGCATGCTCTGCTTGTTAGAAATAGAAGTTAAACCTTGCAATAAGCTAAGCCTATGGGAAACGTCTAAATTTTTCTCCTCCTCAACCACCGCACAGGGACGTTGGGGAACAGCGGGGACGCTGTCCCCCCTCCGCATAAGGAGGGACTCAGGCAGCAATTATAAACGGTTTTTGGATTTGTTTTGTTATTTTTTTTATTTTTTTTTTGAAAGTCATTTTTTTATTTTTTTAAGAGGAAGTGAAATTCAAAAAGAAAACAAAAAAAGGCCAAACAAGATGCAACTATACATAAACGCAAACAGCTACTTTATTGCTTATCTGCATTGAGAACATGTATCAAGGTCTAGGTTGGAGTACTGTCTGTATTTTGTATGTTGTACAGCAGGATACAGCCCATAAGGGGTGTAGTGAATCCCATAAGGACTGTAATGATGTCAGCTTGCTACTATGGCAGAGACAACCTGTCATAAGCAAATAAAATTATAAATTACATAAAAAATCTAAGTGTAAAGTAAAAATATTACATAAGTAAAAGAAACACTATTACTTATGTGAATACTAAAAAAATACATAAAATAAATAAATAACTTAGAATTTACAAATAAATCTTGGAATACTATTGCAGATTGTAAATCTACGTACAATTTAACCCAGGGTAGAGATCGTTCCGCGGTACCCTTTGCTAGGTACCTAGTACCGCTTGGGGGGTACCCTTCACACCCGCCCCGCACCCGTCGGGAGGTGCCAGGTGCGGTACTTGGTACCTATTTTTGTGAAAAATTGAACAGGTACCTAGGTACCACTACAGGTACCCCCTCACTTCCCTACCAAAATGACGGTGGCCTTCTACTCCAAGAAGGTACCTTGGCTACATGGAAACAGGGACTCAAGGATAACAAGAAGTCTAACCAAAAATCAAAAAGGAAGGTGATAGTTTTGGAAAACAATGAAGATTCTTCTAATAATCTAATTAGATATAATTTGTAGACAGTTTAAGCTTTAAAATAAATTATTAAATGTGAACAAATGAAAAAATTGACTTGGGATTGATGTTTTACAATAAATATGAAAAAAGGCAAGATTCTTCCCATTAGATGTAGATACTTGACAACAAATATGAAAAAAATGCCAAAAAAGTGACTTGAGTAATATTTTACAATAAATATGAAAATAATAATAATAATGAAGTAAGGTTCTTCCAATTAGTTTAAGATGTCTTACAACAAATATGACAAAAGGAAAAACAGTGACTTGGGAATGATATTTTCAATAAATATGAAAATATAATAACAAAATAGGATTATTCCAATTTGTTGTCAACATTTCACAATAAATATGAAAGAATGGAAAAAAAGTGACTTGGGACTGATATTTTACAATAAATATGAAAAAAATAATAATAAAAAAGTGACTTGGTAATCTGAAAGTGAACCTAGGTTAGAAAGAGAGGGGAGGTACCCGCGGTACCCGCCAAAAGTACCGCCGGTACCCGCCAGGAGGTGCCTGGTGCGGTACTTGGTACCAATTTTTTGAAAAAATTCAACAGGTACCTAGGTACCAACAAGTACCCGAGTACAAACAAACGATCTCTAACCCAGGGTACCTCAGCCAAAGGTACCCCCAATTCTCACTCCTTCACCCTTTTATACAACCTTGAATAATTAACAGGTACCCTTAGAGCATCCACCCGCGTCTCTGTAAACCCGCTCGCTAAGCCCAATTTAACCAACTTTAATCCGATTTTCCACCCCCGCGCCCTCTTTAGGGCTACTTAACAAATTAATCTTTAAGATTCTCGCCAAGGGTTCATAAAGTTACGAACCCCTACAGAGCCTCATTAGCCAACGCCAATCAAGGCAAAATTAAGTTTTTCTAAGTCCTTGGCACACTACACCACATATCCGTCCCCTGTACACAGCACATCACATCAATTCACTGGTCCACAAAACATCTCGATCAAAGAATCTTTGATGGCCAACGGCAAAATTCAAATTGTTCCAACGGGAAAAGAGACTACAAAGAAGAAACGAGCACCCAACTGGCTTCCAATTGAGGAAGAACAGCTTGCAATCTCATGGGTTCACGTTAGTGAGCAGCCGGAGTTTGCCAACAACCAGACCAGAACGATGTTCTACAGAAAAATCAAGGAGAATTTCAATACGTATAGTAAGATTCACTATTGGAACCATGAACAGATCAAGATTAGGTATGCCAGTTTGTATTTGCTCAAACAAATCCTGTTAATGATGTGTTTTACTTTCTTGTAGGTGGACATCTTTGAATACCGCTACCCTCAAGTTTGCTGCGATTTACAACGTGATTGAGCGGAACCCTCCAAGTGGTTCCTCACCTGATGACTGGATGTCAACTGCGATGACAGTCTATGCCAATCAGACAAAAGGGACAGCTTTCTCTTCTGTTTCAGCCTGGCAAAAAGTTTGTTACTGTCCAAAATGGCGAGGCGATTGACCAGATCTGACTGTCCCAATCCCCTTGTCCAATAACATTGAAATCGAATCGGGAAACATCACCAACATTGGAGCAGCCACCCCCTCTGGCCCCTGTACCCCCAGCTCACGCAATGCCTCATTGATCTCGCGTCCGACTGGGCAAAAGGCGGCCAAGAGGCGTCGGATTGAAGGCTACAAAGACGACGAGATGCTCTCGGCTGCAGATAACTTTGCTGAAATCTTGAAGGAACGACTGGCTGTTCTTAGCGAGGGAAACACGATTGAGATTGAGAGGAACAAGATCTCGAATGAAATGTTGAAGATTGAGGAGAAGAAATTGGCGCTCAAGGAAAAAGATTTGAAGATTCTGGAGGCTCACAAACAGAGTGAGACCCAGATGATCGATTACAAGCTTCTCCGAGAATTGACGGATGGGAAGGAAGACACGGAGGCCAAACAGGTTCTCCAGATGATGAAAAAAAAATTATTCACAAGTGGCTCTCCACATCTTAAGATTGATGTTAGATGTTACCATTTCCTTTGTCTATCTCATACACCATTCTTACTTATCCACACAACCTTGGCCTCACTTTGAAATCACATTGCTCACTTTATGACCGGTCAATAGGTATCCCAAATATTAGTGGGATTGCTTCATTTCATTGCATTTTGATTCATTTTAGAGGAGACACAAATTACAATCTGAGGCTGTTAAGCAGCCTCATCGCCTCGGAGCAGCCAGTTGTAAATCTTAAGGTCTTCTTTTAACTGGGCATGCATGAAGGCATTATGTAGATTCTGGTTTAACTGGATGTAGTTTGCAAAAGTATGTGCTAAGTTTGGATCGGTGTGGTTAGGGACGATCTGAGCTGAACCAGGGAAGTCCATTAAGAAGTGATCATTGGGAGAGTGATCCTCCACGATCATGTTATGTAGGATTATACAACATGTCATGATCCGCATGACATCTTCCTTCTCCCATATACGACAACCAACAGTGAGTATGTGCCATCGTGCTTGAAGTACGCCAAAAGTGCGCTCGATGTCCTTCCGAGCCGATTCTTGAAGCTTCGCAAAGTGTGTTGAGGCACCACCCTGAGGATCCCTTATCGAACAGACCAGAGTTGACCATGGAGGATAAATGCTATCACACAGATAGTAGCCGGTTGTGTAGCGGTGCCCGTTGATGGTGAATTCAACTGCGTCCTTGGCACCGGATAGTAAACAATCAAATAAGTGACTTCGATGGAGGATGTTGATATCGTTCAACGCGCCAGGGCTCCCAAAAAACGCATGCCAGATTCGAAGATTCTTGCTTGCAACGGCTTCTAAGACAATCGTGGGCTTTTTCTCTTTGCCTTTGTATTGGCCGGCCCATGCTGATGGGCAGTTCTTCCATGCCCAGTGCATACCATCAATATTGCTGCCGATACAACCTGGGAATCCACGCTCCTCGTTTTCCTTCAGAATCGTGTTGAGCTCCTCGTGATTAGGTGGTCGGAGGTAATCTGACCCATAGAGCTCAATAACATGAGTCACAAAAAGCTTCAGCGTTCGAAGAGCGGTTGTTTCGCCAAGTCGAACATACTCGTCAGTTGAATCAGCACTTGTCCCATATGCAAGCTGGCGAAGTGCGGTGGTTATCTTTTGTTGGGGCGATAGACCAATTGTTCCACAGCAATCCTGTAATCCAAATTGTCAGAACCACTGGAGAAAAAAATAATAGACAAAGTATAGCTTACACTCTTGAGAATCCAAAAGTGATCATGTTGCTGTAGATCGTGACAGAGTTGATCAAATAATCCTTGGCTCATTCGGAACCGCCGCTCAAACATGCGGTTGTTGTATACTGGAGTCTTGGAAAAGTAATCGGCCATGAGTCTCTTGTGACCTTCAATACGATCCCGGTGGATGACTGTTCTCGGCCCTTCCGGTGCTCTTCTTTCAGGGGGCCTTGAGACCGAGTTGAGGAGGCGACGAAAAATCTCCTCTTCCATGGAGTCAATGAGGTAGTTGTCCAGGCGATTACACATTCTAGGTGATCCACGACAGGTGAGTTCCTGAGATACGGGGTCCAAGTTACAAAGGCACACGGGGGTACAGGCAAGAGCTGGCAACCCTGATTATCTCCCGCGGCTTTGCCTAACCAGCCGGTAGTAGGTACCGACCAACAGGGGGGGTTCACTCTGTAGATTAGTAACAGAGCCTCGCGGGGCTCGTTGCTTAGCTAGAGATTTACCTCAACGGGGGTGGATGCTCTTAAGATCACGGGCCCTGGGTACTTATGCATTATACATAACCAAATGCATATACTCCAAATCTTGTCACGGATTTGGAGTGTTGTGTAAAGTTTAGAAGATAGTGTAGTATGGTGTGTACTGTCTCCAAGCCCGCACGCTGCGTAGTCATGCTGTGCACTGTTGACAGGCGTGCCTGACTACCATTGAGCCCAATTCTCAAGCCCCCGCGCGTGCCAAGTATGCATGCTTGCCTTGGATACATGCATAACCCCCGCCTGGGTTACCAGTATCCAAGAAATGGGCCACAAACACCCCAGAATCCTCATTACACCTGACAACAAAGCCCCCAGACGTGTAATAGAAATATAAACAAACTAGAATATTCCTGAAAATAATACAGTAACCTAGAATATTCTATATTCCAAGTGGTAACACGTGTAGCAAGCCTCAGAAACCACCTCTTGGATATTCTGTGGCCCATTTCCAAGGAAATAGCTCCACGTAACAGACTAGCCCCTACCCACAGGCTCCTAAGGGATATTCTTGGTTCAAATAAATTTGTGCATGACCCCTTGGAGCTTCTAGAATATTATCCCCAAGGTTTCAGCCCTTGTTATGTCACCATGTGGGCTAAAATGGGCCCAGCAGTGCTCCCAAGACCTACTAAGCTCCCCTGAGCAACCCCTGAGGCCTTCCACAGGTATTTAAAGGGCCTTCTGACCGCCCAAATAATGATCCCCCAGCTTTAGAATACCTTATAGAAATGTACTTACCATTTACAAGTCCCCTACACTTGTAATTAGCCTAGTTATTACTGTTATTTCTGCCATTAAGCCTCAAGATTCCTCAAGAAACTCCCCAGTGAAACCCCAGCACCCAAAACCAACCATTTTGAGCGCTTCCAGCTGTCCAGTTTCTTCCCTGAAGATCCTCAAGACCCCACAGGATTATTACTAGTGAGTAATAACCCTTTCTTTGAGATTTTCCCCATTATTTCTTACTGGGATATAAACCACCCCTGTTTACAGGCCCCAGTGTACCAGGTACCTAAATCCTCTGCTTTTAGCACAATACCTTTGAGGGATCTAACCACCCCTGATTTATCAGGCCCCTCAGGTTTAATTTATATTAATTTTACTAATATAAATTAGCCACTTTTTCTCTTAAAAATACCTATAAATGCCTTTCTTTTATTGGAATTTATTCCTTCAAAGTTAAAACCAAAATTCCTTAAGCTTTTTGCTTGATTTTGCACCATGTGTACCTAGAAGATTTTGCATCTTGGCATCACGTAGGCTGACAAATGATATTGCATAAGCGAATTTTGATTTTTTTTTCCCTTTTCAAACAACCTCCTAGAGGTTGTTTGAAAACTTTTGAGATTGTTTTTTGGTTAACAAAATAATAATAAAAACATTATGAAAGTAATTCAAACAAAAACCAAAAAATTATCAAAAAGAAAAAAAGGCCGTTTATAATTGCGGCCTCAGTCAAGTTAGCCAAACAGAGTCTGATAATCTGAATGCTCACAACACATTGTGTCAAAATCGCTGCGGTAAATCCAAGTTGGAGAACTCCTCTCTCCGACCTTTTTACGCACAAGCAAACGTTGTCTGTCACATTTTATTGACCCTTTTTTTCCACACGTTTCGGCATCCGGAGTTAACCCTATGTATGATGTGTGTGTGTGTATCATTACCAACTGCTGAAACGCTTGACTTCCTGGGACCTGTTAAGGATCCAGTTTATCGACGAATATAAGTGAGTTGTTGATAAAGTTATGTAGGCAAACCGAGTTCCAGCCAGCCGGTCTTGATCACGTCCATAACTAACAACCAAGCACTGGTGATTTCCTTCCTCCGGGTTGAGCCCGTGGTGCCATCCATGCTGAAACACTCAATTATGACGTAGTTCCTGGCACTTGTTAAGGATCCTGGTTTACATTTACTGAGGCATATAGGAGGGGTTGTTGGTTGTCAAGTGAGCATATCAAGACCAGCAGGGTGTTTGTTTTCGGACTGTCAGGGCTTCTGTATCTTGAGAGCCTTGTTTGGAGTTCAAATGTCACAGTCAGTTTCATTCATTGGCGAACATCCCATGACCACTCTCAGACGAGATATGGTTATCCCCTGCGCCGCAGCCAGTCCCACGCTGAAAAAAAAAAAAAGTAGAAACCGAGGAAATCGAAATCACAGCAAAAAACCAAAACACCAACACCAACCAACCAACCAACCAACCTCAAAACTTCAAAACCTCGCAACTTCAAAACTTCAAAAGTAAAGAACAGAACAAACCAAAACAAACAAGAACCGATCAGAAAGACTGAAAAACCATTCCAAAAGAACATTCACATCATCATGGCTGAATCTGCTACCAGTCCCACCTTCCCTTCATCTCAACTACCGCCCGTAGCCGCCCTAGCCTCATCGCAAGCCGTCCGAAGTGCACTAGCCGACTATACCCAAGCCTCCTCGATCCCATCCTCATCAGTCTCATCACCACAACTCGATCACAGCTCATCATCCGAGAAGGAGGATCAAGAGGAGAAGGACGACCAATCATCCTTAGAGGATGGCGAAATCCCTACCGAACCAGCTGGCACTTCCTCCTCCGCCTCCAACAATCCGATCACCATCTTCAGCTCCCAAACCGAATTCAACGTCAAACATCCGCTCTACTCTACGTGGACCCTCTGGTTCGATAACGCTACTAAGAACGATAAGGCTAAGAATTGGGACGACCTTATCCAACAGGTCATGCAGGTCGAGAGTGTCGAAGA